GGTATCTCTGTCCTGGCCATGAGCGGCTGGCCGCACAAAAAGAAAGAAGCGCAGTTAGAAACCTCGGGGCGGTGGCGGCCGCTAGTTTCCAGCTAATTTGTGCGGGATTTTTTCAAACCCCGACAATCGGGATAATAGTTGAAGGCCCAAACCCGAAAAGGCGACAACCCAAGTTGCCGCGCGCGAGGTCCCAAAACAAGCACGAGAGGGGCTTCAGGACAAGAAAAAGAAAACAACGAGAAGCAGGCCGCCTCCTACACATGGAGCATGGCAACGCCGGCAATCTCACACAGGACGAATTCCCACAAAACAAAACCCCAAATCCCAAAACCGCCCGAGAAGCAAAAGAACCCGTCGAACACTCCACCCAGTTGCACCCATACGAAACACCCCCCGCGGGCGGCTATTTTCGCTGCTAATTCTGCGGCTAATTTTGTTTCTATTTTTGGGCTATATTTTCGTTACTAATTTTGCTTCTATTTTCGTACTCTAAATCATGTTCTATTTTCGTACTCTAAGTCATGTTCTATTTTTGGGCTCTAAGTCGTATTCTATTTTGGCTTCTAAATCGTGCTTCTATTTTGCTTTCTATTTTTAGCGGGATTCGCATGTTCGAGCGGCTGCTTTTCAACTTCTAAATTCGCGCTTTGGAGGATTTCCTTTGGAAATCTCCAGCGTCACGAAAAATAGAAGTTGGGAAGACAGCGGCCGAACACGCGAATCCCGCAGAAAAATAGAAAGCAAAACAGCGAGCACGTTTAGAAGTCCAAAATAGAATACGACTCAGAGCCCAAAAGTAGAACGCTTTCGAAAAGCCCAGCGAGAATGGCTTTGCGAAAGAACGAGACAGGGATAGGGTGCAGGGATTTCAATCAACTCAGATGGAGGGCGTGGGGCGACTTCGCCCGCTAAATTTTGGCTAATTTTTTCGGGATTTTTAAAAAGTCCGGGCAAACAAAGGCGACCGCGGTGGCGTTGCCGCCGAAGGAAAAGAGTAAGCCCGCGCGGCGTGGGCAAAAGAAAACAAAACCCCAGCGGAGTTTGCGACGGCTATTTTGCGGCGGCCCGGACGGAGCGCGCACAGAACGAGACGACACCCCATGGCGCATGGGGGATAGACATGGAAACGAAATGCCCGAAGGCGGAAGCCCTTGAACCCAAGAAGGACAGACCCAAACGGAAGCCGGCGCCGGCGGAAATGTGTTTGGCCCCCGGAAATCAGTGGGCCACCATCCCATGCGCGAATGGTTATTATATTTCCCCACCACATTTCCACCACCCCAAACGATTTAGCCTTCCGCGCTTTTTGCTAAATTGGCAGTTTAGCAAAAAGCGCGGAAAATCCTTTCTAATTTGGCCCGCTAAATTGTGTGCTAAATCGGCCGGCTAAATCCTATTCTAAAACCTATTCTATTTTTTGTTATAAATCGCATGGCTAAATCATGCACTAAATTGCCCTTCTAATTCTTGTTCTAAACTTTGCGGGATTCACACTCCTTTCATCTTCGCCTCGAACGGCTAAATTCGCGAGTACAGTGATTTCGGGAAGGAAGTCACAAACTTGCAGATTTAGCCGCCGACTTCGAAGATGAAAAAGTGTGAATCCCGCGGCTTTGGAAACATGGAAGTCCTCTGGACTTCTATATTTCCAAAGCCACATTTAGAACAAGAATCCTGCGACGAAGGTCGACGTCATCAGAAAGACAAACACAACACAGCGCGGAGCGCGATGCAGAACAATTATAAGGAGAGGCAACCCCCAGGGCTTGGCCGAGATAGTGACAGACACCATCTCGAGCCTGTTGCGCCTGAGATAATGCCTTCCCCTGCAACACACATGACCACGCTGCCGGATATTTTGCGTGGTGCAAAATATCCGGAAAACCAGCGTCGGAAGACATGTCGAAATTGGCCGTCTCCACATTTCTATGGAAAACCGGGCCAATTTTTAAATTTTAAAACTTGGCGCGCGGCCAAACACAAAACACAAGGTAGGAGCAGGCACCGCGGCCGCATTGTACCAGTGGCCCACAGACACGAACAAACCCCATGGGGCCGATAAGGCGGAGACGAACCAGACAGGGGGGAGCGATAAGACACGAACCTGGGCGGCGGCACACGGGCCAAGCCAGAGAGGTGCCCGGGCCTTGGGGCCTCGGGGAAATCCCGGAAAATTTAGCCAGTTTTTAGCCCACGAACTGGCCCCACCGTCCTCCACCTGAATCAACATTGGCCACACGGCCCAGGTCTTCACAACCCAAGCCGAAAATCCGAGGGCCCCCATGAAAATCAGACCACAAGCGCTGCCCTCCACCTTCGGGGCCACCCGGGTACGAAAATACCAAAGAAGCCCCCAGGGCGTTCGAAATTCCGAATCCCCTGCAAGCGGCCCTAATTTTTAAATTTTAACTCCCGTCGTGGCTTTTCATGGAAAAACACACGCGGGGCCAACGGGGGGACTTGACAAAAACCCGGCCCCCCGGGCGCGGTGGAAAAGGGCGGAACCCTGCGGGCCCGGGAAACTTCAGCGCCCGGGGACGAAAAGCGCCGCCCGCCCTAAGGGCTCCGGGGAAATCCCGCAAAAATTAGCTGGGATGTAGTGCCTCCCGCGGCCCGCGGGCTCTCTGACTGATCCTGGCCGTAAGCGGCTGGCCGCACAAAAAGGAAGAAGCCGAAACCATGAAGGCAGTTGCTTTGAAGGACACCCCCCAGCGCCTGGGTGCGTATCTCTGTCCTGAGGGAGCGTAAGCGGCTAGGCGCACAAAAAGAAAGAAGAAAACCGAAAAAAACCACGTAGGCCGTTGCTGCTAAGGACACCCCCCAGCGCTTGGGTATCTCTGTCCTGGCCATAAGCGGCCGGCCACACAAAAAGAAAGAAGCCGAAACCATGAAGACCGCTGCTGCCAAGGACACCCCCCAGCGCCTGGGTGTCTCTGTCCTAAGCATGAGCGGCTGGGCACACAAAAAGAAAGAAGAAAACCGAAACCATGAAGACAGTTGCTGCCAAGGACACCCCCCAGCGCTTGGGTATCTCTGTCCTGGCCATAAGCGGCGGGCCACACAAAAAGAAAGAAGGAAGCCGAAACCATGAAGGCAGTTGCTTTTAAGGACACCCCCCAGCGCCTGGGTGTCTCTGTCCTAAGCATAAGCGGCCGGGCACACAAAAAGAAAGAAGAAAACCGAAACCATGGCGACAGTTGCTGCTAAGGACACCCCCCCGCGCTTGGGTATTTATGTCCTGGCCATAAGCGGCCGGCCGCACAAAAAGAAAGAAGCCGAAACCATGAAGGCAGTTGCTTTGAAGGACACCCCCCAGCGCCTGGGTATCNTCTCGGAGAGGCAGAAACGACAAAGACAGCCGCAAGCGATCGGCGCAGACCGAAAGTCGCTAGCGGAGAGAGATCATCGCGCAAAATTCCACCAAATGCAGAACAGCCCACACCTCCGCTGAGCATCGTACACGAGCGCAGACAATGGCGCAAAAGTGGCAGGAAAATGCGACCCAAATTTCACTCCTCTTTTGCGTTTTCAAAAACCGTCACGGTCACTTTGCTCCAACAAGCAAAACATCTAGCAGCGAAAGACTCTATCATAGGCAAATAACGACTCCAGTCGCCTCCTGCAAGGCCACAGCCAATCAGGTGCGGGAATCCGATGGCTAAGTAGGCATCCTTTTCGGGAAACTTGTCTTGCAGTTTCGTGAATAGATCGTCTAGACCCTCGCGGAACCATTGTTCCCGTAGGGCGGGCGACTCCGCGTTCCCTTTCTGTACAGTCGGCACCTTGCCGGGTTTATACTGGCCATACACGTTGGCTACAAATCTACTCGACTTGGGCGCCACTTTCCGCAAGTCTGTCTTACCTACTTCTCTTTTGTGAAATGCATTGCACGTGTCCGCCGGCGCGAACTTTCTAAATATGGCTTTTGCGAAGCCAGCTGGCTTGTTAGTCAAGCAGTTGCACTGGTGCGCCAGCGCGTTGATGTGGTTAGCTTCTAGTAAATCTGCTTTCACTAGTAAGATTTTTTTGGCTTCCGCCTCCAATGGCGGTTTCTTCTTTCTTTTTGGTTTTTCCAAAATCGCCTTTGAAGCGTCGCCAAGCTCCTGGCTGGGGAGTTTCAAACTTTCCGCGTCTACAGTTGATAGTAGATAGTATGCGTTGTCCGTTTTGGGAAGGGTTTCCCAATAGGACCCCCTGCAAGTTTCGAACAGCTCGCGGCTCTTCTGAAACTTTGCTACTTGGAAAAATTTCGCGTACAAAAAAGCGAGCCTGGATTTATACTTAGGCACTAGCATGATAGCTCTCGGCCGCCGCTCCAATTTTAGCTTCATGTAAGGCGCGAGCTTTTCCAGCACCGGATAAACTTGGTCGTTGGACGGGTGCCACCAAGACACTTCCGCGCGCAACTCCTCATCCGTCATCTGGTAGGCATCTGTCACATCTGTCCGAAAATAATCAACCAACTTGCTGACTCCCCTTCTGTCCGCCATAGTCAAGTGGTCCCATTTCCCAAGATCAAAATTTTCAAAAAAAGCATATTTATTTTTTCGATCCTTCAGCGCAGCGCGTCCTCGCACCCCAGAAACGCCGTCTCGTCGCGGGCCTGAACAGGAAGAGAAGTCGGCGGCGGCCACGATAGAGTGCCTCCCGCCTCCGATGAGCCGCGGACGAAGTGCGGCGACACGCTCGTGCGGAATGTCCTGGAGAAACAGCGAGATGTGCGTCCCCAGTCCGGAAGGCAACGTCGTCTGCGAAAATGCGCGCCGCCTGGTGCGTGGATGGATCGGCTCCGTCGGGTCTATCTGTGTTCCAGCCATATCCACCACGGCTCTGCTCGACATATGAGACCCTCTCCTCCCGCTCTGGCCGATTTGCTTTCTCTTTATTTGATATACACATGTGGAGCGAACGCAAACAAACGAACAACCCCGCGGCGCATGGCAGGTCTTCCCCTGTGGTTCTACGTGTTTATTTTTTTGAAGGAATCAGAAAAGAGTAGATCGCGAAAAGTTCCCGTCTAGTTAGGGTGAGGAGTTCTCTTGCTTTTCTAAATTAGCTTTAAACTGTTTGCTTCGGTGGTTCTACGCTGTGGCCACCTGGTAGCTGCCTTGTCGCTGCATGCTGCAGCTTTCTTGGTAACACCGCTGCCAGATCCTACATTATATCTACTTGCCGGCACTTTTTCGTGGCGACTGGTCGTTCTCATCAGGGGCTTTCTAATTTCTAAACAAAGATTAGTTCAAGTGCTGGCGTGACTTCCAGCGGCAAATGGGGAAGGCGCTGGCCATCCTGTAGACCAGACGGAATCTGTGTTTCCAGCCTATACACACAGCGGGAAAAGGTGAAAGGTAGTTTCTAGCTCAAACGACTGCGCAAGAGGGTGCGTCGACTAGTTGCATGAGTGCAACAGACCGATGCCACGCAAGGCATCACGTGGGGAAAACTTCAAGCAAATAGAGCTGGCTCGACATTTCTAAATCACGAAAGAGCAAGAGGCAGGAATCTTACTCAACTTCAATACTTATCTCATTGCTGGATTGCCGGTAAGCCTTTTTTTCACTTTCTAACTGATCAGAGTAGGGCGCTGAAAATAGCAGTTCTCGCGCTCTGTGATGAGCCGACCTCCAGAAACCGAGGTCACAAAGTTGCAAAATCAAAACAATGTCGCTAGTTCATTTCCCAAAACAAGACGTCGTCATTATTTTTTTTTCAATTTCAGGGCTCGCCAATAGAAAGTAAATATATCTCTAGCTACTGTATCTAAACCGAATTTTACTGCGCTGGCACTTACGAACCGATCTTCTTCCCCATTTTGTGTTTGTTCTTGATCTCCGCAAGTTTGGACTGCCACAGCGACTGATCCTTACCCGACGGAGACTTGCCGACGTTGCCACCGGAAGAGGAAGAGGAAGAGGACTGGTTGTCATGCCGCTGCTGCGCCACCACGGCCATCTTCTGCACCTTATTGTCGAAGTTCTGCTTCCGCTTTTTCGCCGCCGGCATCATCGCCTTATCCTCGTCCTTTTCCTTCTTGGTGCGGGTGGTTTTGGCCTTTTTGGTCTCAACCTTCTGGTCCCGTTTTTTCTGCTCCAGCGCACTGGAGATGTTGTTCGCCAGCGCCGTCATCTCGACCTGCGTCGCGGCGGACAGATACTTCTTCGCCCTTTCGCGGTATTCGTCGATCTTCTGGATTTTGAGGTCCATCTCCGCCTCCGTCAGGTTGTTGATTTCGTCAGAGTTCAACTTCAACATCTTTTTCAGCTCCTGGTACGCGTGACCGTCGTCCGCCAAGATGCTCGTCCCCATCACCCTGTCCAGTCCGATCTTGTACACCAGGTCCGGCATATGGATGGAAAAAGCGGCGACAAGCCCAAGCCTTATCATGGTTTTCAGCCACATAGGAGGGCCAATGTGGGCACAGTCGAACATTACAAACATGGACTTGCCGCCGCTTTTGCAATCAATATGTCGGCAACAGCTGCGCATACTGCGCCGCCTCAAGCGCCTCCTTGCACTTCAAGTCTTCCTCGCTGAACCGCATGTACACGATGCAGCGCGCAGCCTTACGGTAGTCCGCAGTGTCCTTCTTGAACAGCTTCATCGCGGCTGCGAGGTTGTTGGCCGTCCTCTCCTCGCTGTTTTGTGTTTGAGTTGAATTGTTTCCAAGGGCTGTGGCCTGCCTTCTAGACGAAGGCATGTCGCTACCAGGCGTCTGTCGGTGTTGGGAACGAAACTACACAAGAGCTAGATCACCGGCCCCCTTTTGCCAGAACACGTCCTAAAATGCCAGTCTTTGCCTCTTCCCTAAAAGGATCGCCGATAAAACTTTGCGAAGGGGCAAGCACACACTGCAAAATTGTCAAAAGTGATTTTTAGGTGCGGACAAGGCGTGCTGTATAACAACGACAGAAAGGAGGAAACTTTCGCCGTTTCCTCTCCTCTGCTGCATCAGAAAATTTGCACACCCATGGGGACCAGGCGAGACGTATGACAAAAACGGGCCATCTTTCGAACTAAAAGCAAACCTCTATGGACCGCGGCCCCATTACCCAAATCTTAGCGATAAAAAATACCTTCTGTAGATGGCGTATTGGTTCCGGGAATTGATTCGCAGGACGCAGCTCACCGTCTCCTGAATCGCCTGGACCGCTTCCACAGCACACTTTTCCAGCAACTGCAGAACGTTCGTCTTCAATTTCGGAAACGGGCACCGGGCCTGGGGTAACTTCTGGATGTCCTCCTTCGCGGACAAGATGCTGCCCGGGTCGTCGGCGTCGAACTTGATGCTCAGATCGTTCAAGAGGTAGCTGGGCCAGCTGGTGAAGCCGGTGAGGGTGATGCCGCGGTCCTGCAAAATACCCGCGATGGCCACCTGCGAGATCTGCAGGTCGGTGAACTTGTTCCACTCCTTGGTTTGGGCGATCGCCTCGAGCACGATCTGGTAGGAGTCACGCTGCTCCAATTTGACCAACTCGAGGATTTCCCGCGCAGCCTCGATCAACCCCTCCTCGATGCAATCCAGAATTTCGAACTTGGCAGCGGACCCGTCCACCTCGGCGACGGCGCGCTGCATCGGCTTGTTCCCCTGACTCAACCACGCCGGCGGCTCCGTTTTCGGTGGACGAAAAGACGGCGAGTTGAAATCCAGCCAGGTTAACCAGGAGAGGTACTCGAAAACACGCAAGATCTGCGTCTGTTCCGTGAACACCTCCACACTCCACTTTTTCGCGAACATGCTCTGCAACAAGAGCACCCCAGTCTCCTGGAAGATTTCGAAGCGGAAAAGCGGGACGATGTCCTCAATCCCGAGGTCTTTCACCTGCTTGAGCATTGCGTGCTCGCAGTTACTATGAATTGCAAAAATATCGCGCCTGTAGTATTGCAATACAAATTTTCTCAGCATTAAGAATGCAATTTGTCATGCTGAATTGCTTTGCAGATGAGATCTGTCATGCATACTTGCGAATACTACAAGCGAAATACTTTTGCACATGATAGTTACGCATCTGCTGCAATTCTTCCTCCTCCCAAATGTACAGAGTGTCCAGCTCCGGGACGACGTACTGGTACTTTGTCGGCTGGCGCGAGAAGGTGTCGTTGGAATTGTCGGCCACAAAACTGCTTCCCATCGTGGCACTCCCAGAAGACGGGGCCACCGGATGCAGCCCTTCCGAACCAAAGTAAGCGATAGAAGAAGACGCCACGCCGGCATTGGGAATCTCCTTGCTCTTCGAGTCCGCTTCCACCGATCGTTCGCCCTGCGAGGGCAGGTCCTCATCTGCGTACTTGTTGAAACTGGTATTGTCCAGGAGCTGACTATCCTCGGCGTCCTCCGCGTCTTCCCCCTTGCCGGAATCCATCTGCAACGCCGAGGTGAGAAAGTTGTCCGCCGGCGACGTCGCTTCACCGGAAGTTGCCCCAGCTCCTTCACCGGTGGTTTCTTCAGCGGCAGATTCCACAGCTTCTTTTCCTTCGGCCTCCTTCTTACTCCCAGTCACTTCGCGCACACCATGCAGGGCAACTGGATCGCGATTCGGATTGTAGCCGAACAAACTGCTCTTCGCGCCGGTGGCGGAGGACCCAATGGACGATCCCGCTCCGGGGAGAGAAAACGCAGCGGAGCCACCGCGGGGGTTCTGGCGGTACTGCGCCATCGACCGGCCGGAGTTGTTTGTAGTAGTTTTGGGCGCGATTTGTTCGTACGTGGTGTTCAACTTCTTGAGAAACTGGGCAACCGGCAAAACCGGAATCTTCTTGTCTTTCTTTTCGTTAAACTTTTTCATCAGCTCCCTGTCAAACGTCATGTTGCCGTCTGCGTCCGCTTTGAACGTGCGCATGATCTCGTAGTCGACGCTTCCACACTGTTTCTTCGAGCCCCGGACCTTTTTGTACACGTCCAGGTTGTTCGTGGTCGCGGAGAAGTTGTTACGCCGCAACGCCTCCAGGATCTTGGGGTCCGTCATAGCAGCGCGCTCCTTGCGCTGCTTATCCGCGGCGGCCTTGTCACCCATCTCTTTCGAGACGGCCTGCTCGATGATATTATCACCGATGACCATCTTACAGCGGGCTGCTGGGGTTCAAGCTAATGCAAAACCGCTCCTGAAAATGCAAAAAATAGCTGGGGTTCTACTCTTTTCACGTTTCCTGAGATGCTGCCTTCTGAAAAATCTGTGGTCGTGAGCACTCCTGAGGAAATAACTATACGAAAGAAATGACGCTGGAAGCTGCAACCCGACATCACGAAGCGGGGCTGGGGAGCGGGCGCGCGGGCTCTCAAACTGCTGGCCGGCAAACTCGAGCACCGGATGAGCCCGACCAGGGGGCCAGGCCATTCAGAGAAAAAAGCGGGCCAACATTTCGGGGCCGGACAAAAAATTCCGCCGCGCCAGAAAAGCCTCCGCGCAGCGAGGCTTTTCGGCGCTGGGCAAAAAAATTTTTAAATTTTCCGCCGCCGGATCTGAAAATTTTGGAAAAATTTCTGCAATAAAAAATCCAAAATTTTTAAAATTTAGGGGCGGGATTTTCAAAAAAAATCGCCCGCCCGGCGGGACAGGCGATTTTCAATAGGATTTCCTTGCTGCGCCGCCGGGGCGCGCTTTTTTTTGTTTTTTTTCGCGCCGGATCCGCCGCAAAAAAAATTAAAAAAACGGGAAAAAAAAAGTGGAAATCGCTCGGGCCAGCGCTATTTTTAAAAAATTTTGAAAATTTTTCGCGTCCTGCTATACTTTTTTTTTTGCTCCCCGAGCCCCCGCAAACGGCAGCAAGCGCGCGCGTCTTGGCTTTTGTAAAAATGCTCTGCAGGCGATTTGGCGAGTTTGAATGTGATTCGCTTTCTTCCATTTTTCGATCTCTCACTGCGCTTTCAGCTCTCGCGAGGTCGAACTCAGAACAAACGAGGACCGAAGAATGCGGCGCAAACAAGCTAGAGCGAAAAAAGACCGTGACTACACCTAGAATTTCGACGGACTGAGAGACTGCGCATTTACTTTCCTTCGATAGCCACTCGATTTGTCTTCGTGTTCAAAACATTGAAAAAGCTCTGCGAAAGCTCGAACCACTACTATTGCGCACTAGCTGCTTCAGTTATCATGCTAATGAGCGGTGCAAAAATTTCACTTTTTACTGCGATCGCAGTTCGTTGCTGAATTTGCACAGCGGTGAGCCTTTTGCCTTTTCCCGCCGCCTGTGCCAGCTCCTCCGCATCCGGATCCTCTGTTGCAACACGCAGATACTCCGTCGCGTCAAAAGTTGCGGCCTCCAGCTGCTCCTCCACCTCCCCAGCCGCCTGGAGTTC